GCCGTTTTCAACAACGTGGCGTCGCAGGACCTGGACATCGACGTGCCGCTTTGCGTCGACATGGCGCTGAACTGGCTGCTGAATGTCTACGACAGTCAGCGCACCGGACAGCTACGCGTGCTCAGCTTCAAGGTGCCAAGCAATCGCCAATCGAAATAATCGCCCGTAAACTAGAGCCCCTTTTGATCGTAGGTGGGCCTGACGATACTATCAAAGGGCCACTTGGAGGACAAGTACCGGTATCTGTTCCGGCTCATTGCAGACCCGCAGCAAAAGGCCGACCAACGCAAGCTGGGGCTGCTGCTGCATGACGTGCTGCAGGTGCCGCGCCAGCTGGGCGAAGTGGCCGCGTTTGGAGGCTCCAACATCGAGCCCAGTGTGCGCAGCTGTTTAGGTAGTAGGGCAAAATAGAGGGGTTCCAAAGCCGGTTAAAGTGAGCTTTGTAGGCGACCGCGACGACTTGGAAGCTGCGCATTTCCTCGCCTGGCTCAAGCAGGAGCCGCAATCGCTGGTGTGGCTGCCGGTGCTTCATCGGATCGCCGCAGGCGAAGCGGCCAAGCACCAGGCCAAGTGCAACTCCTGCAAGCAGTACCCGATCGTGGGGCTGCGCTACCGCTGCCTCAAGTGCTTCAACTTCGACATGTGCCAGAACTGCTTCTTCTCCGGCAAGCTGACGAAGGGGCACAAGCTGACGCATCCGATGCACGAGTACTGTGCGGCCACCACCTCCATTGAAGATATGCGCGACTTTACCAAGGCGCTGAAGAACAAGTTTAAAAGCAAGCGCTACTTTGTGAAGCATCCGCGCGTCGGTTATTTGCCGGTGCGCTCCGTGCTGGAAGGGGATGAGTTGGAGAGTCCGGTGGCTTCGCCTCAGCACAACGACATGCATTCCCGGCTGGAAATTTACGCGTCCAGACTGGCCGAAGTCGAGCTAAGGGCGGCGTCTCCTGAGGACGAGCATCGCTTGATTGCGGATTATTGTCATTCGCTTGAAGGGGCGCCCGCCAGCCCCGGCCAGTTGATGTTGGTGATTGACGAAGAACAACGGGCGGAGCTGCAGGAAATGATCCGGGAGCTGGAGGTGGAGAACCAGGCGCTGCGCTCCGAGTACGAGCAACTGCAGGTAGACGCCCGCCTTATTCCGCTCTTTTTCATAGTCTTAAATAATCTTCATGGGGTTGTAGAGAGGCTCAGCGCTGCAACACCCGCTCCAACAGCCGCACCACGATGTGCTGGCCGAGGCGCGGCTGCTGCGCCAGCACAAAGGGCGGCTGGAGGCCCGCATGCAGATCCTGGAGGATCACAATCGGCAGCTAGAGGCGCAGCTGCAGCGCCTCAAGCAGCTGCTGGCTGAAACGCCCACCTCCACCCTCCAAACTAGGAGTGTGACGGCGTCGCAGCTAAACCAAGACACCCCTGGTAGGGTCAACCAGCCGCCGCCTCCTTCGGAGATGCGCTAGCCATGTTGAAGAGTCCGGGCAGACATAGAATTCGACATATCCCGTCTTGATCCGTAGCTAAGTTTACCTTAGGAATATTTACTCGATAGAATGTGGATTTCCAGCAGTATTATGCAGAGCCTGCTATGAGAATCAGGGATTTCGTTAGGTTAAGGGCTTCGCCGTGTGGTCCCCCCATCCATTGTAACGCATTTAGGTTAGCGAGCAGGAGCTGGACCCGAACGGGTCTGTTTACGCATAGTAACTCGGTCATATCTTTGGACACATTTCACTAATTTAATGCGCTAAGTGTATTTTGGAGCTGCCACTGGTCTGGTAATAAACACTGACGTGGCGACTGGCGTTTTTTGACCCCATTTGCCCCTGTAGGTGACTCAGTTTTGGGGCGATTTCAGTTGAATTTGCCAGGGTTTTAGAGTTGGGGTCGTTCAATAGGGTGAGCGAGTTTTAAGTCGATGCCTGCCCTAGATTGGAAGTTACGAATTTTTAAAAGCTAGTGTGCATTTGAGCGAAAACAAAAAAAAGATATATATTTACAAAGCGCGCAAAAATCAGGTTTTGTTGTGATGGAAGTTTCAGGGTTTGCAGAGTCAATTGTCTTCTATATTGTCTGCAAGTTTCACTTTGCTGCCTGCTCTGGATGGGAAGTTACGAATTTTTAAAGAGGTTTGTGCAGCTGAGCAGAAAATGTAATTTCTTCACTTCTGCTTACCATGTGCGCAAAAATCAGATTTTAAGGGCATTTGAATGAAACTTTCATGGTTTTCACAGTGAAGTGTGTTCTATAGCGTCTAGAAGTTTCAAGTTGTTGC